TGTTTCGCGAAACGACGAAAATTCTCGCGAGATGATAAAGCTGGGCCATTTGTTTGTTTCTTTGTTGTTTTTACGCGGCACCCTACAACATCAACACTCTTCCTCTTCGTTTTCTTCTTCTGCATCTGGTAGTTGAGTGAAAATCATGTCCTGGAACACAGTGAGTGAGTGAGTGGTTTATTGTTTAACCCCGCACTCAGCAATATTCCACCTACTTGGTGGCGTGCTGTAAATATTCGAATCTGGACAAGACAATCTATTTATCAGCAGCACGCGTCAGTGAGTGACTTTAGTTTTACGCCACACTCAGCAATATTCCAGCTATATGGCGGCAGTCTGTAAATAATCGAGTCCGGACCACACATTCCAGTGATCAACAGCATGAGCATCGATCTGCGCAATTGGGAAGCGATGACATGTATCAACCAAGTCAACGAGCCTGACCACCCGATCCCGTTAGTCGCCTCTTACGACAAGCATGGGTTACTGAAGATCAATATTCTAACCCGGACTTTCACGGGTCCACGAGCATAGAGCTACACAATTGGGATACGATGACATGTGTCAACCAAGTCAGCGAGCCTCACCACCCATCCTCTTAGCCTGTTCTTGCGATAAGCATGGGTTGTTGAAGACCTATTTTAGCCCGGATCTTCACGTGTCTAGGAGCCTTGGAACCCAGCGTCCTGAAACCTTGCCATGCGCAGTTCACTGCTCAGAATGTTCCCACCTCTCTCATGAGAGATGCCTGCTGACCGGTCCTGATGATCGTAGAAAGATTAGTAAAAGTTTAGGAAAAATGACAAATCACTTTAAAATCCCGCGCTTCAGTTATTTTCCTGGCTGATAACAAAATAGCATCCGCAATAATGTGAAGGAGAGTGTCAAACTTGTATTGATAATGCTCGTAGATCATCGGGGTGGTGGGGTAGCCTAGTGGTTAAAGCGTTGGCTCGTCACGCCGAAGACCCGGGTTCGAATCCCCACGTGGGTACAATGTGTGAAGCCCATTTCTGGTGTCGCCCGCCGTGATGTTGCTGGAATATTGCTAAAAGCGGCGTAAAACCAAACTCAGTCAGTCAGTCAGTCAGTCAGTCGTAGATCATCAGTGATCAATAATATGTATTATCAACATTTTCCTAAGTGGTGGCAGTTGATCTTGGATCATCGTCTACCCTCCCTTTCCCCCTTTTGAACAACGCTGCTCTCATTGGGAAGGGACATCAACACTGGGAAGGGGAAGGAAAGAACACCATACCATAAGCTGATACCATGTTCGCATGGATGACTGAATGATGGTTTTGTCAATTATCAATGAAATTCAGCAGGGTGCTACCAAACTATGGGATGTGTACACGCTTTAAATAGAAACAGACTCACACGCACACGCACGCACGTACACACACAATCAAAACGTGACGTAATTCCAATAGAGTGTGCATCTTTATGATTAACAGCTGCTCAAAGCGGTGTCAAAAACAAAAATCGGGAACGACTGCCAAAGATCTTTGGACAATTGCAACAAAATGTGATGACATCGTGTATATTTTACAGGCGCTTCGAACACACTGTGCGACAATACATTCGTTTTTCAAGCATGCATCTTTTCAGCTAAAAAAAGAAGGAAAAAAATAGATTAGGAAAAATGACAAATCACTTTAAAATCCCGCGCTTCAGTTATTATCCTGGGCCTAGATTTTCGAAGCGCTCTTAGAGCTAAGATAGTCGTAAGTTTATGTTAATGTATGGCACTTACGACTATCTTAGCGCTAAGAGAGCTTCGAAAATCTAGACCCTGGCTGATAACAAAATAGCATCCGCAATAATGTGAAGAAGAGTGTCAAACTTGTATTGATAATTAATTTCTTTCTGCCCTGCAAGTATCCCAAGAATAAAATAAATTTTCATTAATTTATCTTGACAATCGTTTTTAATACAAATATGAATAAAAAATTAAAAAAATCAATAAAAATACAATAAAGACCAGCTAAAAGAAGAAAAACAACAACCCAAAACTCACGCCTTTCAGAAAACTGCGCTCGACAGACGTGTTTTCAGCATCGATTTTAAAAATATTTATAACTATGTAGTCAAGGTTTTCATATAACTTTATAATCAAAACGAGGCAGCTATTTTGACGACTGGTTAAATAAGAGTTAATATTCACTATCTCACATAGCGCAACCTTTGTATATTTCTAGATGACCTCAGACTAACCTCCATCTAAAATAAGGCCAATTTCTTCTTAAATCATTATACGTTCAATCAAAGGAACGAAATAATGATATCTTTGGTAATTACAGATACAATGTGTAATCTGTCGTAAATGACACTGACAAATTTCACGCAAATGTGGCAGTGCTTTGATCAGTGAATCGGTCGAAGGGAGACAACTCTTTCCACGCATCGGCCAAATCGAACCATGACGGGTGCAAATATTGCCCTACAGTTGGATGGAGGCATTCGTCACCATTCGCCCCTTTCCGTAACCTCCAAGAAGACGCTTGTCCCGGAATAACACGAGTTGGTCACGAATGGGATGGAGGGTGGTTTGGTTGGCATTTGTTTTGTTTGCTTTTATGTTTCGTTTTGTATTATTCTTCTATGTTAGCACTAGTTGGTTATGTGGGATTATAATCGACCTAAAATGCCAGTTTTGATAAGAAATATACCTAAGGCTATGAAGGTTCTGGGTGTTATTTAATGTGCTAAGGAGTGTTTGTAGATTTTAGATGTGTGTTTGTGTCCAGTGAACTCTGGAGCACCATTTTGTTTGTTGGTAGTGATTGCAGTGTAATACGGCATGTTGGGACGTTTCTGTTTGTTGCAGTGTGTGCATTTGTCTGTTTGTTGTTGTTTTTTTAATTTCATGTGGATCGGAATTTAATTTTGTGTGACCTGTTTGCAATTTGGTTATCGATCTGTCAATATTTCTGGGTTTATGGTAGTTTTTTAGTGTTTTTTGAGTAGATGTTTTAGTTTAGAATTTGAAGTTTGATATTTTCCCTTGTTACGCTGGGTCAGTGCACAGAGTTAATATATACTCATGCCAATAATGGTTGTCACCCCCTTCAATTTTTTTTTAATTGGAGAGGGTGTGGGGTGGGGGTGTGAGGTGTGTGTGGGGTTGGGACGGGGAGGTGGATGACAAACATTATTGGCATGAATATATATAGATAGAGCATGTTAACACAAGGCAAGGTGGGAGAATGTATAAATAGATAGGATTAATGTACAATGACACCAATTAAAGACAAAGTCAATGATTATAGCACAATGGAGTTCACACAGGGAAAGTAGATGCCTTGGTCTCAGTTAATGGCTGGCTTCATTCTTTGGGTTTCCATTCTTTCTTGACGTTTCCTATTTGTCCAGTGGTTGATGTTGGTCAACAGAATCTTGGTTTGATGTCAAGAAATATGGTGGTCGGGATTTTTGATGAGGTGTTCTGAAAGGGCAGATTTCATGTCAGATATTTCAACAGAGGTCATATGTTCTTTTATTCTGGTCTCTATGGGACGTGATGTCTCTCCTATGTATTTGTCTCCGCAGTTGCATGCTATTTCGTATACAGATCCTCTAGGGTTTGGGGGCAACAGTTTAGCCTAGTGGTTGAAGCGTTCGCTCATCACGTCGAAGACCCCGATTCGATTCCCTACATGGGTACAATGTGTGAAGCCCATTTCTGACGCCTCTCTCAGTTCTATGAAGGCGTCTGTTGATAATCCAGTCTAGACCACAGAATGAAGTGACATGCACATTCACCCGATTGTAATATGATGACAGGTGTCAACCAAATCAGCGAGCCTGACCACCCGATCCCGTTAGTCGCCTCTTACGACAAGCATGGGTTACTGAAGACCAAGTCTAACCCGGATCTTGTATGTGGAATGTTGGGTATTGTCGAGTGGAGAATTGTCGAGCGAGGGATTGTCCTGTTTGGAAACCCCGTATGGATATTGTCCAAGTTGGGATCCGCAACATAGTGTGCGTTTGCATGTGCGTGTGCGTGCGTGAGTGTAGCCTCCCCAATATTATTACCCTAGAACAAGGACAATATGCCCTTGTGCCTTGTTCAAACATTACGTGACACTGTGAAGGTGCCATACATTTCGTGATTGATTCCATTTTGAGTTGAAGTTGATTTATATTTGTCTTAGTCAATGTTCGCCAGATGTTTCAACCTATTCTCCAAGGTATTGCCTCAAACCAAATTATTTCTAACTGTTGGGCTGCGCATCGTTTAAGACACGCCCACACAGACGCGCGCACTCCCACGCACACGCACACGCACACATACACAAGAAAGCAAACATAAATAAAGCAAAAGAAAAGACAAAACAAAATATATGTATAGACGATGAAAACAGACATCTAGGAAACTGTACATGTGATCCAACTGATATTGACGACACCATTTCAACGAACTTATAATTTGAATTTTGTCAACACCACCATTGCATTCAATCAATGAATTGGATTTCAGTGTTTGTCGTTCATGCGAGGTTGTCTCCCTTTGACTACTAACAGACCAATCCAGGAAACACGAACAAGTGACAGCCAAAAGGACATCGTTGTTATCGACGGACAACGTGGGCTTTACATGGATGTAGGATGGGGCCTAACGTTATGTCAAGCGTTGTAATCATGTAACCGGTTGTACAACGTGATTACAACGTTGATTACAATGTTTAATGCTCACAAGTGACGACACCCGAACACAGTTACCATGGAAATTCACTCCCGTTTGGACCACAAACGGAAAGAGGAGGGTGGGTTGGAATTGAGCGAAAAGTTGACGAAATATTTTCTTGTATTAACGAAACAAACAATGGTGCAATATCAATCAGAGATCGATCAGTCTTTTGGCGCCGGTCAGCGATTTGTTCTAAAAATAGCCCATGACGTTAAACAGAGCATAAAGCTTTTCGCTTTGTCAACGTTCTGAAGACGAGGCTTAATTCAGAGTGTATATATACTACACTGGCAATTGAATCAGCTCAGTCTGAGCGAGAGCAGCAGGTTGCCAATATCATAATTCCGACGCTGGCAACAACGACAATGGCGGAGTCAGCGCTTTCAATTGACAGGTAGAATATTTGAACTAATGTTCGACTTGTCGTTGTACAGTGTTGTGTTACTCTGAAAATGTGTTGACATATTGCTGAAAGTTGTTTATGGTAATCGGGTGTTGGATATTGATTGAGTTACGTTTAACGCCGCTTTTAGCAATATTCCAGCAATGTCAGCAATGACACCAGAAATGGGCTTCACACATTGTACCCATGTGGAGAATCGAACCCGGGTTTTCGGCGTGACGAGCGAACGCTTTAACCACTAGGCTGCCCCACCACCCCGGGTGTTGGATAAATTTGTCAAGTTTTATTGATTAAAAGTCTAGACGTTGATTCCGTATTGACAATAGCACGATTACTGTTGATTAGGAGACATAACAAGCACGTAAATGCACCCTGTTTTACAACAGCAGGGTAGCCTGGCTAAGTCCCGGGTTTAATTCCCTACATGGGTAAAATGTAAAATGTGTGAAACCAATTTCTAGTGCTCATTGTCGCAGTATCGCAGGAATAGTAGTAAGTGGCGTAAAACAAAGGTCACTCACTGTACGGGAAAGTACATGTCGTGCACGTCAATGTGTTCGGCCGTAGCTGGTGTGAATGGTTAATCGTTGTTGAGTCCTAATAAAAGAGTAACTGTAAAATAGGTTTGTTTCACAGAATGCATTTATACGGGCAGCGAGCAGGATGTCGCCAAACGGTCGTATAGCCATGTATATATATATATATATATTATATGTAGGAATGCATTTATATGATGCTTGAGCTGAGAAAAGGTCAGTGGATGTGAGTCAAGGTCTCTTTATTCATATTGTGTAGGGTCTGTAAGAGAGATTTATTGCGAGGATGCTATGATAGTGAGTGAGTGCGTGAGTGAGTGAGTGAGTGAGTGAGTGAGTGCGTGCGTGAGTGAGTTGGGGTTTACGCCGCTTTTAGCAATATTCCAGCAATATCACGTATCACGGAGAGGGACACCTGAAATGGGATTCACACATTGTACCCATGTTGGGAATCGAACCCGGGACGAGCGAACGCTTTACCCACTGGTCTTCCCCACGCCCCATGCTATGATAGACCGGACTTTATATTTTTTGTTCTTTATATATTTCTTTAAAATCAGATCGGCAGGTGCTAATTTATATCCAGTTCCAAATAATTATTTTGATTTCCTGAAAGTGTTTAGCAGTTTTTAAATGAATCTTTAGACAGGTGTTAATTACAACATTTCTAAGTATAGCGACTGGAAAGGAAGTATTTTATAACGTATGCTCATTCTGGGCCCATTTTAATTTTTAATACATTTTAATACATTCCGGACGTTTTTTACGGGAACGGGACCGATCTGTTTCAGAGTTTCAGTTACCCGATGCCTGTATGGGAAGTATTTCCATTTAGCATTTGCGTAATATTTGAAATACATCTGTTTGATTGCAGCGAAGCAACGAAAAAGGAACTGGCAACAAAAGGATATTGTGTCATTCCTGACGTCATAACTGCCAAAGAATGCGATGAGCTGATTGGACAATACAAATCATGGCTTGGAACATTTCAAAATGGCGACTTCCCAAAGAGTCGAAGGTCAATTATACACCAGTACCGGATTGGACACTTTGGGGCCTCGTGGTCTGCGAGGTTGAAGGTCAAACCAGTGTACGCCTCGGTCTGGGATACGGAGAAACTCCTGTCTAGTTTTGATGGCGTTGCTATATCGAGGCCGCCTGAGGAGGCTGATGGAGTCTTTGATGAGGGCAAGAAATGGTTTCACCTCGACCAGAAGCCGTCGAGGAAAGGTCTCCATGGCTACCAGGGGGCTCTGTATCTCGAAGAAGCGACAGAAATGGACCATTGCTTCAGAGTATTGTCACATTCACACCGATACTTCGAGGAATTTTTCAGCCATTTCGACAACGCCAGGAAAAGGAGCTTGAAGAGCGAGTTCTACAGGCTTACGAAACCTCAAACTGCGTGGTATGAGAAACGGGGTTGCGAAGAAGTCAAAGTTTCAGTCCCAAAAGGCGGGGTCGTGCTTTGGGACTCGAGAACCGTCCACGATAATGTCCCACCAGTTCTCGGGCGTCCTCATGACGATAGGTGGCGCTGGGTCGTCTTTATCTGCATGATGCCTGCTCATTGGGCAGCTGATAAAGACAAACAGAAACGTGCAGGTGCCTATAATGAAATTAAATTGACCAATCACTGGGCTTCTCAGGAAACAGAAGTGTTTAAGAGCAACCAGCCAAAGCACAATGGCGATCCTATGTATTGTGTTGACGTCATGCCGCCAGAAGGAATCCCTCTAGAAGGAAGTACTCCCTCTGCTCGCCTATTGGCTGCTGTGGACGAGTACGATTTTGATGATGGCCAATCAAATGGCCCCGGTTGGGAACCCGAATGGGACCACACGATGACCTAATGTAATGTCACGGGATTTGAATGAAATGTACAAAAAAATTATTTTTGTACATGTCGACGACTGAGTACATACTCTGACTGCTAATTTTGTGTTCATAAACTTGCACATGAATTGATATTGATATGATAATAATCTTACATTAGGTAAGTCACCGGAACTTGTTATGTAGAACTGCGTCACATTGTCTAGAGCAAAGGTCTACGAATCCCAGTTCACCGCTTATGTTTTAAGTTTTGTCAGCCCAACACCCGTAGTCGGGGGTTTCAGGACAGTGTTGGACATTATATACTCATATCACTTTGGGATCGATTTGAAACGTAGTGATATGGAGCAATATTCAATGCGGCGTTAAATCCAATTGATCTTCAGCATCCCATGCCTGTCGTAACGGGATCGGGTGGTCAGGGTCACTCGTGTCATCGTATCCCAGTTGCGTAGATCGATGCTCATGCTGTTGATCACTGGATTATCTGGTCCAGACTCGATTATTTACAGACTGCCGCCATATAGGTGGAATATTGCTGAGTACGGCTTTAAACAATGAAACCAAACCAAAAATCCAATTGGCTTTTTCATTATGCATATGTTGAGGCGAAGGTTAATCGTGACCACCCATGGATACCTTTGATTTACTGCTGCAAGTCAATGTTGATTAATGATGCATTTATTTTTCCTCTTTGACACCATCCCACTGAAAACCGCAAATGTGGTCATATAAGAAAGGACTACGTCCGTCCAGCTTGTATATATTGTTTCCAAATAAGTTTACATACCATTTCCAGGCGGTGTCAGTTTTCACCTGGGGAAGTTAGAAAGCATTTTACAATATGCAAATCGTGTCTTTAGTCCTTGAGATGTTGCCCTGATATTTATTTATGTACTATTTAACTACTGTGAGTGTCTTCAAAGTATATCTTTACACGTCTGGATTCGAACCCGGAACTTGCGCCGAGGGTACGGCTGTATGCTATTGTCCAGCCTTATAACATACCACTGACAGATAGTACTCAACAGAAGTTAATAAAACACGATTTTTAATTTGTACTCTTAATCTGTAAATACATGATATAAGGCATATTTTATCTTCTTTTCAGTCGTATATATACACGGTCTGTACATTTGTTTACTTAGACGTGTATTCAAATATTTTATTTCAGCTACTTTTTTCTTGAATAAATATTGTTTAAATGACTTTTGCTTATCTTCTGTTTCTACGTGCGTCCCGATCATGAAGCCAGTTTCTGGTGTCCCCCGCCGTGATATTGCTGGAATATTGCTAAAAACGGCGTAAAACCATACTCAGCCAGTCAGCCAGCGTCCCGATCACGGTATCAAAAGACCCGTGAAGATCCGGGTTAGAATTGGTCTTCAGCAATCCATGTTTGTCGTAACAGGCGACTAACGGGATCGGGAGGTCAGACTCTGTGACTTCGTTGGCCAATTACGTAGATCGATGTTCATGTTGTCGATCACTGGATTGTCTGGTCCAGACTTGATTATTTACAGACCGCCGCCATGTAGGTGGAATATTGCTGTGTGCGGGGTTAAACAACAGCCAAACCAATCCAAAACGATATCAAATATCCATATCAAACTCATAGTTCACAGACAGACAAAACCTGTATTAAGTCGTTTGCTGCAGCCAATACTCATGTCGACAGACAGGAAGAAATAAATCCACTGATGTACAAAAAATACAAAAATATGTCCTTGCTTTAAGATACACGAAGCTGGGCCGAATTATGGATTATCAGAATTTTGTGTGCAAGCTGTGACCTTGTTAGTAGTCCCTGTACAATTATTAGTATAATTGTAAGCATTATGTTCGTGTTGAACGCATTCATATTGAGTATTGATATCAGTAAGGGATTCCGTTTTTAGATCTTTTGGATGATTGTTTGAGTGAGTGAGTTTAGTTTTACGCCTCACTCAGGAATATTCCAGCTATATGGCGGCGGTCTCTAAATAATCAAGTCTGGACCAGACAATCCAGTGATCAACAGCATGAGCATCGATATGGGCAATTGGGAACCGATGACATGTGTCAACCAAGTCAGCGAGCCTGACCACCCGATCCCATTTGTTGCCTCTTACGACAAGCATAGTCGCCTTTTTGTGGTAAGCATGGGTTGCTGAAGACCTACTCTACCCCGGTTCTTCACGGGTCGGATGATTGTTTGAAGGAACGAGTAATATAAATTGTCACATTTAGTCAACTCAGGCTATAAACTAACGGAAAAGTAACTCTGTTTCAAATAAACATCAGGGGCGGTGGGATAGTCTAGTGGTTAAAGCGTTGGCTCGTCACGCCGAAGACCCGGGTTCGAATCCCCACATGGGTACAATGAGTGAAGCCCATTTCTGGTGTCCCCCGCCGTGATATTGCTGGAATATTGCTAAAAGCGGCGTAAAACCAAACTCAGTCAGTCAGTCAGTCAGTCAAATAAACCTCAATGACAATAATTGTATTCTAAAATTAAATGATGCAGTTTTCAAAAACATTCTCCTCAACTTTAAGATCGTGATGTACAATGTTGGCGTCATGTATACTACTCAAACTTTGCTAAGGGTCACAAAAATTCGCAACTTTACTTAAACGTAGATTTATAATTTGAAATTGTATCGATTTAAAAATGGACAAATTATGATATGGTAACACATCTTTAGGAAAACAGCCACTTTAAGCTAACCGTATGCACTTGATACAGGAGTAACGATAAAAATGGTTTTCATGGCACCAATCAACTATTTTGCAAGTCATGGAACGAGTCATTGACAAATACACAACACCTGTCGAATAGCAGGTATAGGTTCCACAAGATGAAATGACAAACTGAAACCTAGGATCCATGCTTACAATAAGCTTAGATATTTAAACCAAATTTGACCCCACATCATAGTTTTCTGTTGAATCCATGATTTCATCCTTAGCAAAGTGTGAATAGTATACCCTCGCGTCATGGGTTTCCGTGGTATTAAGAAATTTACGACTATGAATACGCTGATATTGTCAAGTAATATAGACATAACATAGTGTTAGACGACATACCTTTGTATCATTTAATGTCAATGAAACACGTTTGTCACTCTGAAGTTCATTGTCCGTATCGGACGACAGGCGGCCATTGTGCACAAACTCTGGTGACGTCATATGTTTCCGTGGTATTCCCTACAGATCAAGTTACGGGCGCACGGCACATGTCACAATCCCACACGTTGTCATAAATAACGAAGTTGATAAATTGTAATGCAGTCAACGATTTTGTAGAATTAACACAATAGTCACATTTCTTCAGCATAAATATCCAGTTCATAAAATATGTAGAGTTGATCAACGGGATACGTGAAATGAAAAGTGCAAAAACGACTTAAGAGATGACCCTATCGGGCTTCCATAGTTTAAAAAATAGACATGGGATTCCCTCCTTAGATCGCGTGATTGTTTTTATTGATTACATCAGCTAGCAGAAGAGCGATGTTTGGAAAACTTTGAAGCTGAATAAGTCTATAGAAAATGTTTGTAAAGATCGCACAAACAGTGCATTACGTTCTAGACATAAAGTTGCAACAGTTTTTAATAGTTGGTGACTGTACGTACGCAAATTGATGAAAGTCTGAGCATTTTTTGCTCAGAGCCGTGACGATCGACTGATGAACGTAAACAATCGATAGACGGCGCAATTTGGTGAGTGGCTCGTGAGAAATTATGTCATAAGAAAATACCACGGAAACGTAAGTACCACGGAATCATATGACGGCATGGTATATACGTTCGCGACGCAAAATTAGGATGTTGGCGCGTTTGTTGGGGGTCTTGAACACGCAGTGATTGTTTACTATCAAGTGATCACAAAACTGACTGTTCCAGTAATATCACGGCGGGGGACACCAGAAATTGGCTTCACTCATTGTACCCATGAGGGGATTCGAACTCGGGTCTTCGGCGTGACGAGCCAACGCTTTAACCACTAGGCTACCCCACCGCCCCCTGATCACAAAACACTATTGTTTAACCGTAAAGGCTTACACAGTGGAATCTGGATCCGATGACCGCCAATCGACTAAGTCTCTGACCAACCGATCCACTTTGTCTCTCACGACAAGCATAGACTGCTTGGAATTTCTTCTTACCTTGGTACCCGTGAAGATCCGGGTTAGAAATGGTCTTCATTAACCCGTAAGAGGCGACTAACGGGATCGGGTGGTCAGGCTAGCTGATTTGGTTGACACATGTCATTGTATCCCAATTGTGTAGACCGATACTTATGCTGTTGATCACTGGATTGTCTGGTCCAGACTCAATTATTTACAGACCGCCGCCATATAGGTGGACTGTTGCTGAGTGCGGTAAAAAACAAAACTCACTCACTATTACCTGGAATCCAACTATTGTTTAACATGGTGCTCCCTGGGTTGGTTTGTTTCCGATGGTGTCAACCACGTGATTGCCTAGTAGAAATTGCCACTGACACTGTTTACGGTTATTTCGAGCTCAAAATTGCCAGGGCGGTGGGGTAGCGTTCGCTCGTCACGATCCGGGTTCGATTCCCCACACGAGCACAACGTGTGAAGCCCATTTCTGGTGTCCCCCGCCGTGATATTACTGGAATATTGCTAAAAACGGCGTAAAACATTACTCACTCAAAAAGGCCAACCTTTTTGTGGCAGAATTAGCATTACGCCACAAAAAGCAACATGTAATCAATATTACGGCGGTGGACACCAGAATGCTTCACACATTATATCAACGTGGGGAATCGAACCCTCGGCGTAACGCGCCAACGCTTTTACCACTGCGCTACTCCACCGCCCCAACAAACATTTGAAAATGAAGCAACATTTCCAGCAATGGCTGTTTCAAACTTGAATCAAACTTGTCAGTTTGCAACAAACCTACACTTGCAACATTTCCCCTAGGACGTGGTTGTCAGTTTAATCATAATTCCCAAATGAATGATAATGACACCTTTTCCCTGTAAATGGCTGTAACTGAAGTAATTTACCAGAGTATCATATTGTCACAGCTGTAGTGTCAGATTGTCATACAAACCCTGAAACACACATACCCAATGCAGCCCAAGCAAGTCTAGAACCTGTGGCAAGTCTAGATTACCACAGTTTCTATAATGTTCTATAAGTGTAGATTACTGCAGTTTCTGAAAATGAAGTCTTTGGGCTCTTTTTTATTATATTTTGTGAATATAATTAAGGAACCGTTTTTTCTGTAAATTATGTTTATTACAGAGACTAGATGCTAGTCTACTGCTGGGTCCCACCTGAAAACATCGGTCCACACCTGTTCGCGTTAACTGAATATTGCGCATATTTAAGAACCAACAATATATTTACTAAATTAACAATGTTTGACTAATACCTGACATCGAAACCGAAACTGAACAGTCAGCATGCCTGTTTGACACACATATAACGTACACTGCTAGCTGGTGTAGGTCAGGGCTGTTCAAATATTTGTTTACTCGTGTGTTGCGTTCGAGTGACACGTTTCACCTGTTTCTGTTTTACCCGAATGACGACATTGCAGTAATTCCCGGGCTTGCGTGTAAAAGAACGAGGCGCCGTAGATCAGTCAATATTTGTATCTAACCAGAATCATTGTATTGACGAATAGATAACCCAATAGCTACAGCTAACCTCTTCTTCAGTTAAGCCCTGATTTGTGTAAGTATAATTTGGGTTGAATCAGAGACCATATAATATATCTATTATATGGTCTCAGACTCTGGTTGAAGCTGGCTTGCCGTTTGTTTCAGAGGCTCCCTTTGTCAGCCCCCCCCCTTCCCCGATGAACCAGTTGTTCCAGGCGACGTAATACGCCTTGAGCTACGCCCCTTAGGGATATGATAACCTTTGTTTTATAGTGAGTGAGTGAATGTGTGAATACGGTATAACGCTAATTTTAGCAATATTCCAGCAATATCACAGCGGGGGACACCAGAAATGGGCTTCACACATTGTTTCCATGTGGGGATTCGAACCCGGTCTTCGGTGTGACGAGCGAACGCTTTAACCACTAGACTACCCCACCGCTCCCTTTTGTTTCAGGGCTTGCCAGCACGGTACCTGTCCACGTGGGTTCCACCAAATATGGTAAACGTCTTGGAATAATTCTACATGCAGCCGAGATCGTTGTGATATACCATATAATATTTACAGCCAAGCCAAACCATCCTCACTCGTAATTTCACAACTATGTTTTAGGCATTAATTTGTTACAAATGGTTGTATGGGTAAATCTGTTTTCAAAGTCGAAATCTAAACGATATGTGAAAAGAGAGTGAATGTGACAGCTTCTCCGTTTTTCACAAAACATTCGTCCGAACAAAACCGATATCGCGCTTTCACTTTGAACTGGTTCCCGCTCAAGCTGCGTCTCAGTAGTAGACTAGGTAACAGTCTATAGATAAAATCATAGTGTGCTATTTATACCCTTGTGGGTAGGTTTCACCAAATTGTGCAATATGCTCCGGACAGTAAAAAGCGATGGCACAACCTAGAACTTCCTTTTACATCGGGGGCTGGGTACAGCAATAGTTTTCAACATTTACCCTTGACGTGCAGCGACACATCACCTGTATGAGATGGCGTCAGAGGGCGAGATCCATGACCTATCCGGTATCAACAGGTTGGTAGCGTGCACTAGTACTTCATACACTGATAGTCACTTTGTTGAATTGATTATCAGACCACGAGTGGGTGTGCTGGCTCGGTTTAGAGTTAGTGAGTGAGTTTAGTTTTAGCAATATTCCAGCAATATCACGGCGGGGGACACCAGAAATGGGCTTCACACATTGTACAAATGTAGGGAATCGAACCTGGGTCTTCGGCGTGACGAGCGAACGCTTTAACCACTAAGCTACCCCATCGCCCGGTTTGGTTTAGAGCCGCTTAACACAGTATTTCTGTCAAATAATAACATAATAGCTTTATGCGGGAGGAAAGACAAAATGACATGTAGATCACTTGAGTGAAACATGCGAGCAGGGTATAAGAGTAGTCTTATAGACTCATTTTGGATTCGATCTCACGACTCTGGCACGACTAAAGGACGCAACTCTGCGCAGATAATTGCGGCGCTACCAACAAATGAGCCATGTCACCATTGTCAAATTGTGTCTGTGTGTTTTTGAGTGTGTTTTTGAGTGTGTTTGTGTGTGTGTGTGTGTGTGTGGATGGATTTACTATAGTCGTATGAAGACATCAACTGTTCTTCCACTTCTTGAACACAAAAATCACATACCGTTAAAACGAAAGGTTCGAAATTAAACATTTACCCCAAAAATCATACCTAATGTTACCCTCAAACACTATGCACTATGCTGTATATACTTGTGGACCCCTTAAACGCCGTGCAACTAGTTTCAAAGTCAAGGCGAATGATATATTTCTCAAATCTCATAAGAGGTTGAAATATTCCTTCCATGTTGTCAACTACTATTTCAAAGCAGCAAATATTTCGTTTGTGCATTGGTTCCTTGTTATTCTCATTGGGTTAATCTGATTGGATGGCTGTTTGGTCAGATCGAAGACCAAGTTCCATTCACGAATAGGCTCAGGGTACAGCTTATACCAGAACGGAGCAATCATACGCTGGGTAGTCGAAGTCGCAGGGTACTAACCCACAGGGGGTCGAATCACTGTTTCGACAATGATTTAAAAAAATAAAAATCTAGATTTTTGCAACCGTGAGAATTTTCTAAAAAATCCATTTGTTTACCGATTTCGTTCAAATTTGAAGTATAAGTTACTCATAAGATATAAAATCTAGATTCATAGTTTTTTTAATTATTGTCCAAACAGTGATTCAAACCCCTGTGCACTAACCTATACATTACCGCAAATGTTCACCGTAATGCCTTCTTATTGCATTTGTGGGGCGGTGGGGTAGCCTAGTGGTTAAAGTGTTCGCTAGTCACGCCGAACACCCGCTTTCGATTCCCCACATAGGTACAATGTGCGAATTCCATTTCCGGTGTACCCCGCCGTGATATTGCTGGAATATTGCTAATAGCGACGTAAAACCAAACTCACTCACTCTAATTGCTTTTAATCCTTTTGTTATATTTGTTCTCAGGGAATCTGTTATACGAGACCTAGAGGAGAAAGGATATGCTGTGATATCAGATGTTTGCAGTGCGCAGGACTGTGACACGTACATATCCCAGTACCGCGACTGGCTGTCCCAGTTTGAGGAAGATGATTGGCCATTTCAAGTGGAATCTGTCATACAGAGTTATGATATAAGTCATTTTGCAAATACCTGGAACTGCCGATTAAAAGCCAAGCCAGTTTTTGCTAAAATTTGGGAGACAGAGAAGCTACTTACAAGTTTCGAAGGAGTATCTGTATCATTCCCACCTGAAACTGAAAGATTTGGTATTTATGACTACGGGAAAGACTTGTTCCTTGCTGACCAATCGCCACAAAGAATTGGTCTCCATGGTTACCAGGGTGCAATGTTTCTGGAAGAGGCGTCAGAAACGGACTACTGCTTCCGGGTCCTGTCGGGGTCACATAAACACTTCGAAACATACTATGAAGAATTTGAAGACAATGCCAGGAAGAGTACCAGAGACAAATTCAATAAATTAGGGGAGGATGAAAAGGCTTGGTTCAAAGAAAAAGGATGCATTGCCACCAAGGTTCCCGTCCCCAAAGGAGGAATGGTCCTTTGGGATTCGCGAACAGTATATGACAATTGCAGACCAGTTAAAGGCCGCCCTAATCCTGACAGGTGGCGCTTTGTGGTTCTTGTATCCATGACGCCTGCGCAGTGGGCTAACCCTGGTGACATGGAAGCCAGAAAAAAGGCTTACAAGAAAATCATGACGACCGACAATTTTCCGTCTCTGGGAGTCCAAGTTTTTGAAGCTTCCCATCCTCCACATTTCAGCGACATTACATCTCCTATCGGCGACTGTCTTCCGGAAGTTGCTACGACAAAAGAGGCGAAGTTGTTGTCCGGAGTGGAGGAGTACGACTTCAACGACGGTGAACCCAACGGGCCTTCCTGGGAAAACGTCTGGAAGTAAAACACTCACCTCTATACAGGGTGTCCTCTCACTAAACCAGATTTAAAAGATAAGGATGGTTTGTTATAACAATATTTACGGTATATTCGTGCGATTATAAATGCGACTCTAGGGTTACAGTTTCGCATAAAAAACGCATTTATCCTACGAAAACCCGAATAGATATATCTGTGAGCATTTGTTATACTAGTCTGTGCAATCTGTGAACAAGAGTCACTATGAACAACTGATCTTAGAACGGTATAATACCTCTACTGACACGTAATACCTCTAGCTCTGTCATTCAGGGTGTTTCCGATCGGGAATAAAGGAATAAGTCCACATTTGTTTGCTGTTGCATTGCAGATTAAGTGAGAAAAGTGAGAAAGTCAGCTTTTCCCGCTTTTAGCAATATTTCACAGTTATCATGTCGGGACTCCACATGTTGTGTCGGTACGGGGAACACAGAACTCTGGATATCCAGAAACATATACAGTCAAATCCCGATGAGTCGAATGCCGGTGTCTCGAATATTATGCATAACTCGAAGTACCTGTCGGTCCCGACCATTCCCTGTTATAGTTGTCATTATTTGAATACCGGTTACACGAATTCGACTCATAAATACACACGATGACTCGAGAAGAACTGGATCATCTTTTTTTCTACCCTCATAGACATACCTATGTCTCGAATACATCGATAAATCGAATTTATTACTTGGTCCCCAGAGATTCGACTCATCGGGATTTGACTGTACATCGTACCCATAGCTTCAACAGTGTGTCCACATCTATAGGAATGACGAAATATATAGACTGATCTCTGACGAAAGTCTTTTGATGAAGAAAACTCGTACAACCTGTGACACAACCTGTCCAAAGACACGCCGTCAGCAAACAGAAATTTAATATCTTTGAAACCCATGATGTCGTAGCCAAGGTTATCAAAGTTGAAATAACAAATAAACGTCTTGGGAAAATACCCTAAAGATCCGGGTTAGAACTGATCTTCAGCAACCCATGCTTGTTGTAACGGGATCGGGTGGTCAGGATCGCTGACTTGGTTGACACACGTCATCGTATCCCATTTCGGTAGATCGATGCTCATGCATTGACTGATCACTGGATTGTCTGGTCCAGACTCGATTATTTACAGACCGACGCCATACAGATGGAACATTGCGGCGTTACACAACAAACAACTGACTATTAAGGAGTATTAAAAGCAATTGGACTGACTGAGTTTGGTTTTACGCCGCTTTTAGCAATATTCCAGCAACATCACGGCGGGGGACACCAGAAATGGGCTTCACACATTGTACCCATGTGGGGATTCGAACCCTGGTCTTTGGCGTGACGAGCCAACGCTTTAACATGCACAGGTCAGTCAGCTGGGGTTAGGACGCCAAGGGGTAGTTTGGAGGCTTAATTAGTACCAGGTCTGTGTATTGGCAAATACATTGTATTGCGATACATTAGGAGCCTAAGTGTTTGACTGTGAGTGACATCGACTGTACATGCACATCCTATTTTCTACACACTAAAGTCATAAAAATATACTTAATGGTTGTGATAACAGATATTTTCAAATTTCGAATTGATTTTGAGGGATTGTATTTCCTAAAATTCTTTGCATGTAAAGTATGCTGTTTTGTCAATTAATTACAATGGAAAACGTCAGTGTGAATGAAAGTCTATGTAGATTTTAACTTAAACGACAGAGGTAATCACGAAACTTCATATATATTGTATTACCCAATGTAACGGTTCTGAGAAAAAAATATTGCAATAGGTTTCGTTTGAAAGGCGTATTGAGATATACCGGTTTACCGGTAATACCGTGCAGTCCCAGTACTTACGCATGCGCCGAGTGCCAGGGATTACACTCGCAATATTTGTGGTACTTAAACCCCGAAAGTGCCGCAAACAAATTATTATTGCATTCGAGAATATTCTGGACCAAATCTTTGCTCTTGTCTCTGTCAGTGTATGATTTATACCTCACATCATTATAGCTGTACGAGGGGCGGTGGGGTAGCCTAGTGGTTAAAGCGTTGGCTCGGCACGCCGAAGACCCGGGTTCGAATCCCCACATTGGTACAATGTGTGAAGCCCATTTCTGGTGTCCCCCGCCGTGATGTTGCTGGAATATTGCTAAAAGCGGCGTAAAACCAAACTCAGTCAGTCAGTTATAGCTGTACGCCAGAAACCAAGGACTGTGGGTTCGAATCCCGGTTTGACCCTCGGTTGTTGGCGCCATATCTGCTCTTGTGGGTTTCACCAACGCGGAAGAACAAAGAATACGCTCACCCTTTCACGAACACCCGGTATACATGTATATCATCCCTGTTTCACTGTGATTTATAAAGGGCGGAGGGGTAGCCTAATGGTTAAACCGTTGGCTCGTCACGCCGAAGACCCGGGTTCGAATCCCCACATGGGCACAATGTGTGAAGCCCATTTCTGGTGTCCCCCGCCGTGATGTTGCTGGAATATTGCTAAAAGCGGCGTAAAACCAAACTTAGTCAGTCAGTCAGTGATTTATAAACACGTTGTCATGATGTGGGCCATGTCTTTCGAAGGAGTCTGTTTTCGGCAGATTGTCCTCATGGTTAAAGGCGATGGAGGTAGCCTAGTGGTTAAAGCGTTCACTCGTCACACGGAAGACCCGGGTTCGATTCCCCACATGGGTACAATTTGCGAAGCCCATTTCTGGTGTCCCCCGCCGTGATATTGCTGTAATATTGCTAAAGGCGGCGTAAAACTAAACTCACTCACTTCTCCCCGTGATACAAATGGAACACTGTTACAAGCGGCTTCAAACCCAACTCACTCACTCACACTCCAAATTGCATTACCTGCCTATTCATTAAATATAAAGTGGTTAAATTGTATTTACTTATGTAGACGTTTTCCTCCATATAGTTAAACAGCACCAACACAGAAATATCGGTTTAGAGAGGTTGACCGTATTATCAAGACATGGTATGCGCTCGAGGGTCAAGGTTCATAAGTGTAAATATTCATGACTAACAACTTAGCGTTGTCGAGAAAATCTGCCACGTGAAGCTAAAAATAGAAGGTTGATATGAGTCGAAGGTATGTGTTGTGCGATTCGTTCCGTGTTCCTGCTTTTGTAGGGGCACACAACTAAACATGCAAAGAAAATCTATTCCAGGCCTGTCGGTTGAATGTTGTTTTAAGACGCAACGTTATATCCAGTTACAACAGTTAATTCCCCATAACCTGTACATAACGAGAATGACGATATCTGACAAGTGGGAATTGGAAATCTGGTATGCCCCGAGATTCATATCCATTATTTTCATTAGAGTGAGTGAGTGAGTGAGTGAGTTTGATTTTACGCCGCTTTTAGCAATATTCCAGCAATATCACGGCGAGGGACACCAGAAATGGGCTTCACACATTTTACCCAAGTGGGGAATCGAACCCGGGCCTTCGGCGTGACGAGCGAACGCTTTACCCACTAGGCTACCCCACCGCCCCTATTTTCATAAGAAGCAAGCTTCCGAATTTATAGAAGCTGAAGTCATTTGCTCAAGGTATTACTCTTCAGCAACCCATCCTTTCCATGACTAACGGCTGTTAGGCTCGCTGAGTAAGTTGTGACATGACATGGTATCATAATTGAGTGGATCGATGTTTAACAAACTAATGGTTTTGATTGCCTAATGATGTTTTCAACAACAATTTAATCATTTGATATTTATAATACACTACCTACATGTGTTTGGAGGTAGTTTACATGTATGTTTAGCTATCTAAACACGTGACTCTCGTACTGGTTTAAATGTTAGTAACTCATTGCTCGAACGCACCTCGGATGAGTATGCGCTATTTATATCCCAGCGGAAAGTCCTCTTACGAAATGCCTTCCAGGGGCGACCCTGCTCTGCTTAATACCCTAGGTATAAAGTTTTGTAGTGTAGTGTAGTGTTTTTGGGTGTTCTGAAGTCATTGGACAACGTTGTCAATTTGACGATAACGAGTGGCGATAATTTACGTTCTGGAGCGAGCAGACGACACCTCAAACATGGCGGCAGAAATCAACGTGGAAGGACTAGCGAATTTTGACAGGTACGTTCAGACTGATACTAGTGTACAGTCCAAACTGAATTTATTGATCTATTGTCGACCAAATGCCCAGGTAGATACTTCTTCGTCAGATCATAATACTGCTTCTTCAGATCACAACACTGTTTCAGACACAATACTGCTTCAGATCATAATACTGCTTCTTCAGAATACAATACTGCTTCGTCGGACCACAATACTGCTTCGTCAGACCACAATACTGCTTCGTCAGATCACAATACTGCTTCTTCAGAACACAATACTGTTTCAGATAAGAATACTTATTCAGATAATAATACTGCTTCAGATTACAATACTGCTTCTTCAGATCACAATACTGCTTCGTTAGATCACAATACTGCTTCGTCAGATCACAATACTGCTTCGTTAGATCACAACACTGCTTCAGATCATAATACTGCTTCTTCAGAATACAATACTGCTTCGTCGGACCACAATACTGCTTCGTCGGACCACAATACCGCTTCGTCAGACCACAATACTGCTTCGTCAGACCACAATACTGCTTCTTCAGAACACAATACTGTTTCAGATCAGAATACTTATTCAGATAATAATACTGCTTCAGATCACAATACTGCTTCGTCAGATCACAATACCGCTTCGTTAGATCACAATACTGTTTCAGATAATAATACTGAGTCAGATAATACTACTGCTTGTTCAGATCACAATAGAGCTTCGCCAGATCACAATACTGATTGTTCAGATCACAATACTGCTTCGTCAGATCACAATACTGCTTTGTTGGCTGGCTGTGATAATTCACCATGCTGGAGCGGTACAGTATGGCTGATTCAGTGACCGGAGTTGAATTTCGCAGCGTTATAATCACATATCATCATCAGCAGCAGCAGCATCGTAGACTATAGGGTGTGACAGCGAGACCTGAGCTGATTCAGAACTGCTGGGTGGGGTGACGTCATATATCACTCCAATATGCAAATGACGTCATAGGATGTCAATATTTTGACGTGCTCTAAATTCACGGACGGAATACTGGGCTACGACATTAGAGATGCGAACGTTGTACCCCATCATCTATACTACGACATGAACGGCTGATCACGCATTGGTTTGGTGGTTTGATCATGATACAGAAGCAAATCCTGATGTACACATTTTTTTTCATGGGTTGGCACTGTATCTATGTTATGGTTGTGAACGGCATCAAGGATGTTCCTTTATGAAATATGGGAACATTATCATCACAGTATGGCTATAGA